TCTCATATCTTGGAATTCAGTTTCTCAATGTTTTTGTTCCAGGCTTTGTTATAAACGATTATGTTACTTAAGTTACGCATTTCGTGTGTGTGTGTGTGTGTGTGTGTGTGTGTGTGTGTGTGTGTGTGTGTGTGTGTGTGTGTGTGTTTTCGACTCCGTACACCTGTGTCTCATGTATGAAAATGGAACAGATGGAAATCATTATAAAGTATACACTGTGTTTTTTCCCAGTTCCTGACTTAGCAACTAAATAGCGTATACAATTATTTTTTCTCTCCTGTTGAACGTCTCTACTCGGCGAATTGGAAACATTATTTAGCTTAGACTAATAACTATCACTAAAATTTGTGAACGCACATTGCTGAAAGAAAGAGAATGGAAATGAACGCAAACACTTTTATATTTTCCCTCTGGATACAAACCATAACAATTTCACTGGGCGAAAATACATAGAATTTGCGATTTACCCCTGTAGAACCGAATCCTGGAAATGAAAAGCTTCCTAAATGCAATTCTCCTGTACCCCAAAAGCATGAGGCAAAATCATCACTGGAGCAAATCAGCTTTCTGTGCGTCACCAGGCTCTCTCCTCGGCCACTCTAGACACGCGTTACACAAGTTCTTGGGGGTCTCATCTCTCGTAGGATATTGATCGCCTCGCATACGTCATAACATCTACGGCGTGATTCGCAAGCTTCTGAACAAATGTAAGGGTTCTGGCAAACGCCGACTACATGAATCGCATTGGAACTTTGTTGAACAAAACGTTCCTGTACCGTAACGGGATTTCGGTCTGGTCTAGAATGGTTTGGAATGTTCGCTGGAGGATACTGCGGAAAGCTGTTTGGGCCAATGGGATGAAGTATTATCGTAAAGTACAATTATGCATATGATTTCAGGGATGTATAATTGAGTTAAACATGTTAATACATGTTAAACGTGTAACATCAGAAGCAAGCTTATAGGTTGATAAAGTTGCCCATTTTCCAAATCTCCTCGGACACAGCCTAAACGAAATCCAATAGTTTATATATAGAGAAAAAAAAGTATGATGAATAACAAATCTCCTCTTCTCAAAATCACACGAACACGCGCCCTTCCCACAAAATAAAACACAGATTCAAAAGCAACAAAAAGTAATAATTAAGATGAAAAAAAAATCACCAGAATTTGTGACCCTATATATAAAACCGTACCGTACAGTCCCGTGCCCGTTTGTCTCTATACCCATATACCGTACAGCCCCGTGCCCGTTTGTCTTTATACCCATGTACCGTACAGTCCCGTGCCCGTTTGTCTCTATACCCATGTACCGTACAGTCCAATGCCCGTTTGTCTCTATACCCATGTACCGTACTACGGCGAGAGCCACCTAGCGGCTGAAAAAGCAAGCAGCAGGAGAAGACGAGAAGACAACAAGCGACGAGAGGCAAAGAGACGCACGCTCGACCACATACTAATATATTTACTTCATCTGCAGATTCATTCGGGTGAGTCAGTTCTCTCGCTTTGCTAGATAACTGAGGGATAAGCTCGGGGGGTTCAGAAAGGCTGTAAGAGAAGGAGAGAGAGAGAGACGTGCGCGTGACGAACGAAGGAGAAAGCGAACATGGAAATCCTGCCTGGAGGACCCGAATCCAGGAAATACACTGGAATGACGTAGTTTGCGGGAAACAACACCAGAAAACGCCCCATTTTGTCAAACATATCCAACATATCATCAAATGATGTTCAGATCGTAATCGGGGATACGAAATAAGCACATCGAAGTTTTTATTTATTTATTTATTTTTTACGGCCTTGGGAAGGGCTGTCATGTTAAACCCCCGAAGGATATGAGATAAGGCATAAGGGATAAGGGATAAGGGACAAGGGACCTGTTTTGCGATAGGGACGGGCAGTGGCGAGCTCAAGGGAAACGGAAACATAAAGTGGCGTAACGCGGCAGAAGTTCGTCATGTGATCATTATTTTCTTATTGCAGGGCGTGCAAAGACTTCGGGCGGTTGCAAGAAGGGTGTGCTGGATTTTTTTTTCCTTGGAGAAGATTTTGATGGTGTTATGATTAGCTTTGGATTAAAGTGAAGTTTACCAATAATAATTTTTTGATTTCTAAGATGTGGATCTGTGAGGTTTTGATCAGTTGTCTCGAGACTGTTGCAAAGGGTTATTGTGTGTTGTGTGTTATGTATACATATTATGGCACTCATGAAGGTGATTAGGGAAGCTGAGGAACCTACCCTGACCTTAAGGACCCATACCTCCTGACTCTTGGTAGCACAGGCCATGCCCAGAAGAGAATTAATGGGATTTGCCCAGAATTGAATTAATGTGGATTTGCCCTGAATTGAATTAATGCGGATTTGCCCTGAATTGAATTAATGCGGATTTGCCCTGAATTGAATTAATGCGGATTTGCCCTGAATTGAATTAATGCGGATTTGCCCTGAATTGAATTAATGCGGATTTGCCCTGAATTGAATTAATGCGGATTTGCCCTGAATTGAATTAATGCGGATTTGCCCTGAATTGAATTAATGCGGATTTGCCCTGAATTGAATTAATGCGGATTTGCCCTGAATTGAATTAATGCGGATTTGCCCTGAATTGAATTAATGCGGATTTGCCCTGAATTGAATTAATGCGGATTTGCCCTGAATTGAATTAATGCGGATTTGCCCTGAATTGAATTAATGCGGATTTGCCCTGAATTGAATTAATGCGGATTTGCCCTGAATTGAATTAATGCGGATTTGCCCTGAATTGAATTAATGCGGATTTGCCCTGAATTGAATTAATGGGATTTGCCCTGAATTGAATTAATGCGGATTTGCCCTGAATTGAATTAATGCGGATTTGCCCTGAATTGAATTAATGCGGATTTGCCCTGAAGGCTTGGAGTTCACAGTATGCAGAATGTCAAGGAACTTTCTTTTCCTTGTTTTCCCCCCTTTTAAGTTACACCACATCTAGGGTAGTAACAGTTCTTGGCAGCATGCCAGGTGTTCTAAATTTCTTTGCACCTTTTCTTTGCTCTGAAAATTTAGTATACATGGGATAAAGCATAAATATTTATAACTTTCAGACACATTGAAAATGCTCCCTCCCCCTTAAATAAAAGTTACATATTCCCTCATTGGTTAACGTTACTGAGAGTGATATGCAGAGATAGAGGGAAATGGATATTGCCATCTTATCGAGCATAAAGAAAATAGATTATTTAACAACAGGTGCAGCAGTTCCGGCCTCATATTTACTGCGAAATGATGAAATTATCTGTGTCATATCACCGTTCAGAGACTAAGTCCACAATACCCTTGCACTGCCTGAGTTCTTGAATGTTGCATTTTCTGTAAATTGGGATGAAGTGCTAATAAAGGGGGGGGGAGGCTTGCCCCCTTGTCAAGGAGATAAATAGAAAGTAAGAAAGGGTAGGATTGGATTTTAGGGTTGCATGATATCCTGGTTTTGGGCTTTTGTCTCTGGAGGGTGGGTCACTCTCGGTAACAAATCTCCCCTTACCATCACTTCATCAGGTTTTCATGGACACTCACAAATCTCTATAAATTTGTCGAAAGTACATAAAGCATGGGTAAAATGTTAAAACTGAATGATATGCTCTTACTTAATAGGTCTATAAAGGCCACAGACCTCTGCTTGTGTCAAAAGTCAGCTCACAACTCCTGTAACATGTCTCAACACTTCTTTGTGAAGTACGAGTTACTGAGTAGTTATTTCCTCATTAGGTACCACACTTAGTGCCACGTGAAATACAGTAACTAAAAATTGTGTGAAAAAGGTTCTGGTAAAATTGTTCAGTGCTTGTTGGTGTATAAGCAAATGTCAAGTGGCAAAGTGGTAGGGGTGTCTGGAAGCTGAGGGAACTAAGCTTATGATCTTTAAACAAATGTTCTGGATAATTAGAACTCATCAAAGATTGATAAAGTGGTACAGAATGCTTGCAGTAAGTTATGTATCATTTCTTAATTCAATTTCTGCCAAAGCAAATCACAACACATTAGGGTAACTCTTTACGAATGCACTTGCCAAAGACTAAGTCCCCAACTCTACATCACAAAATCTATTCAACAGTCTAAACAGGGCCTCCAACATCCCACGAGGAACATTGTCTTCTTCTTTGTATGCATGGCAATAGAGAGCTGAAACTTAGGAGAACCAATTGGACTTAGGCTCTGTCCATGATCTTTTTCCTTTATTTATGGGGTTACCATTCATGGCAGAAGATTTTTTCATGTACAAACGAATACAAATATCAGTTCTCTACAAGAATATCATGTCTTTTTCCTTTATTTATGGGGTTACCTCTCATGTCAGATGATTATTTCTTGTACAAATGACTACAACTCTCAGTTCTCTACAAGAATATCATTGTCAGCTTGGCCTATAGTGCATCCATATTGTAAAGATTAACCCATCCTACTATATGCAAATTATTCCCAAGAAGTTGTAAACTAAAGGAATGATCTGGTTATTGATATTATACTATTAAAAATGTGAGATATATGCTTGGGGAATAATATGTATACTAAGGGTAAATTTAGGTTTAGGGTTGAGAATGAATTACACCCACAAAACAAAGCCTGAGGAATATAAGGGGATTTATATTCACAAAATATGTATTTTTCCCCCCTTATGCAATCCTCAAAAAGTGGACAATGCAAATACCCATTGCCCTTATATTAAAGTAATTGCTAGATACTGGGACAATATTTCTTGTGGAAGTGGTAGGTTCCTGCTGAAATGATGGTATATAAAATAACTGAATATGTAAGAGACTTGGATTTTACAGTTGAATGGTTAAAAATATGTATTCTTTGGATAGGTGTAGAGTATCAAGCCAGAGTGGTTGGGTGTTGAACTCAGGAATGTCATGTAAGTTAAATCCAAGACCAGCTGTTAGTAGGCGCATTGCTATGACATCAGTTTCATGGCATGTTAAAACTCTTAATGTCTAGATTGATTATTAATGCCTAAACATTTCTGCTAATTTCTGCTTGTTACAAAATCATTTTAAGGATTAGAATGCCAAATAATTGTGGAAACATTTAGTACTGCCAAATTATTACCTTAAAGTGAATGGTCAACTGTTATTTCATGCCATATGTTACAGTAATTGTTTTCCAGTTACATGAATTTTTTTCTCATCACATCTTATCATATTGTGCCCTCCCATCCCAGCAATCATTGACAGATATGTATTTGTTTTAACCTCTTTTAGCCTGGCACGGATATAGCTGTCATGAAAAACCAACTTGCTAAAGTTATTTGAGCAGCAAGTTCCACCATGTGCAGGGAACTCCCAGGCCAAAAGGCTAGATGGTTGCCAGAAGTCATTGGAATGAGTGACTGAAATTTCTTGCACTGTCATTGTAGGGTTAACAAATCCTACCATAATGAAGTGTTAATTTTACTGAAAAAGAGAATAGGTTCTTGCTCATAGGAAGGAACATATGTAAGACCCTGAGATTTTCCAAATGTAAAAAAAATCAATGTAAAGTCTTAGGGAAGAGTTGATAATAGGATACTTCACTTCCTCTGATGAGTTGGTATATGTTGACTTTGGCTAAACCACATGTTTGGCTCTCATTCTATGGACTGGGTTATCCCTCATATTTGCCTGTCATTCTAGGTCCTTTGCTATATCATATGCATCAGTTGTTCTGTTGTTCTTTGGCTATACCTCATGATTGCCGGTCATTCTGTGGACTTTGACCACACCTTATGTTATCATGGCATTCTGTATACTTTGGCTATATCTCATGTTTGTCAGTCATTCTGTGGACTTAAGCTATATCTCATGTTTGGTTGTCATAACAGGATAGGTCAGAAGTAGAAATAGAAAATCTTTTGAGAATGATATTTCAGTATTTGGCTTGATGTTTATGTGCATAAAATATCAGAATGTTAAAAGGATACTTTTGAAGGTACCTTCCTTATCTTGTTATACTTGGACATATAAAAGGTGTTTTTGTTTTTGAATGACATACATTTAATAATGTCTTGAAATATATAACTAATACCCTCTGCTTAATGAGGATAAACCTAATAATATTACATAAGTGTTAACCCCTTGGTGCCGGGTGACGCCGATCAGCGTGTACACAAAGAGCTCGAAAGCTAGCGTGCAGCCGAACGAGCCGGCGGCGCGCCAAAGCGCGGCGAGCCATTGATTCGGGCTGATGTCCCCTACTCACGCGCACAAAGTCGGTGCGCTACCTTTGTTTGTTTAAGCGTAAAGTTTTTTTTTTTCTTTTGTACACCCAGCGCCATTGGGTTAAAGACATGTTGCTAAGCATACAGATTCATAAACATTTACAAGATTGTAAACAATTTCATAGACATCAACAAATATTAATATTTCCATGCAACACCACACACAATATATGTAAGGACTGGTCTTGACCATACTGAAACCGTGCAATTTACTCAATAGCATTTGAAATGCTGAAGTAGTAAGTGGCTTAGACACCCCTTCAAACATCACAATTAGTTATGATTTTTGTCTCAGTTAAATAATGAAATTTGCTTAGAAATTGTTGTGTGCTAGGCTTCTGCCTAGAAACAGTGAGGTTTACATAAAAAAAACAGAAATTGAGACATTTTTTGGACTCATCCTGCCATAGCTAATCAAGTGGATAGTTTTATATTGTACAGGAAAGTCATGGACACAGCCAATGAAACATTAACCCATTGGTGCTGGGTATGACGTGTACGTACGTGCTATGCCCACCATGAGTACTTGTTTGATTATTTTTACGCATAGATGGCAACACTTGTACTAAATCACCAATGAGCCAACTACGAGCACCGCCCGTCTCGCCCGTTTACCCGTTTCTTTGATTTACAAAATATTTTACGTTATCTTATTTTGCTGTTAATAATGTTAAAATACATTATAAAAATTATAATGTTTATGATAAAAATAACACCATCGATTTTCATAGCACTAGTGAAAAATACGTTTTTCCCGTCATTTCAAATCAGGCGCTAGCAGAGTCATCTATCGGCAGACATTTCACGAAAAACATAGAAAGTGGTCACAGCATTTTCTCCATTTTTTGTTAATTTTCCCTGGCACCATTGGGTTAATGTAGAATGTCTCATTCTGTTTTACCTTGAAATGTTTTTGTTTCTTTAACAGCCAGCAGTTGAAAGCAGTTCAACTGCAACTTATCACCTGCTCATGTAGAAAGGGCCAGACTTACACATCAATTCCCCCACCTCTTTCTTAATTACTAACCACACCAAAACTGACTCTTACAAGCACACTTTCCTCCCATACGCGATGCATGTCCGAAAGAAGCTCTCACAGCACATTATAAAAACTATTTGTTTAAGTCCTTGTTCTTCATACTATTTCATACTCACTGCAGAATGCTGCTGCCCTCCCTTTCTCTGAATTTGTGTCATTAGAGTAAATGCATGGACTGAAGTACAGTGGAAGAGTAAACTGATTAGAGAATTTGTAATCAGTGATCACTAATGTTTATCTTATCTGAGATAAGGATGAGTTATATTGACCACTATTTTTTCCCCTATTTCTTTTACATGTTTTCAATATGATCATGTTTACAAGTTTTATGATACATTAATGGATGACTTGTTACTAAGAGTACCTGTATATATTAATGACATCAAGCAAATGAAGTTGCTACTATTGGAGACAGACGAGCTACATTCGATGAGCCCAAGATGGGGTATGCCATGAAGTGGTGCCATCTGTGACTAGATCCACCACAGCCATTGCAAGATATCATGCCAACCAAATGATTAAACTTACATTAGTCTGTTGATCCTGACATTTGTGCATAGCCAAAAAAACAACAACAACAACAACAGCACATCAGATTTTCATATTCGGCCAAGCCAATTAGATTTTGGGTGTTGGTACTGCTCAAATTAACACACCAGTTAGTGCATGTCTCATCCGGTTGTTTTCCATGGGTATAGAGCAGTATTATATGCCTGCGTGGCGCCCACACTAGGCTACCAAGTGGCGTGCCCACAACGGCTGGGCGGTCCCCCCCCCCCAGCGTCTCGGATACTTAAGGCCTCGTTTTGACCCGGTCAAGGGAGAATGTGCCCTGGTGCGGTCGAGGTCACGTCTGACCTGAGCTGGGCCGCCAGTGACCCCAGGCGACCCTCCAGCCGACCGCACGATACCCAAATGTCATCCTTGTGTTAACAACTACGTGTGCTAACTCTTATCAATAAAAGAGATTTAAGCCACCAAACTTTTACTACTCCCTGTCACCAATGTTTAGAGGTCCTTATAATAACCCTTACACACACCCACACCTACCCACCTTCCCACAAACACACCCACCCACCTACCCACAAACATACCCACCCACCTACCCACAAACATACCCACCCACCTACCCACAACATACCCACCCACCTACCCACAAACATACCCACCCACCTACCCACAAACATACCCACCCACCTACCCACAAACATACCCACCCACCTACCCACAAACATACCCACCCACCTACCCACAAACATACCCACCCACCTACCCACAAACATACCCACCCACCTACCCACAAACATACCCACCCACCTACCCACAAACATACCCACCCACCTACCCACAAACATACCCACCCACCTACCCACAAACATACCCACCCACCTACCCACAAACACACCCACCCACCTACCCACAAACACATCCACCCACCTACCCATAAACACACCCCCCACCTACCCACAAACACACTCACCCACCTACTCGTCCACACACATACATACATACATACATACATACATACATATATTTATGTGTAAATGTAAATAAAGTTGATGTCATATTTCAAATGCTCCTTAAACATAATTATTCAAAATGTATTAATATGATTGTATCAACACATGTTTCATAGTATGCATATGTGGTACATTTTAAATATTTGTTTTATTTTTCACTAGGCCTTTATTTCATGTAATTGTGTGTGATAGCAATTATAACTAGTGGCTAAAGAGTTCCAATGTAATAACATGGTCTTTGTTACTCTTCCAGAATGTCGGCCCCCTATCCAGTAGACCCTAACAAATCTGGTGCTGCCAATACTGGCTGGGCAGTACCTGGTGCCCCCGCTGGCTACCCTGCTCAACCTGGGTATCCCGCTCAACCCGGAGGATACCCAGCTCAGCCCGCTGGTTATCCTGCACAGCCTGGTTATCCTGCACAGCCTGGGTATCCTGCACAGCATTCTGTTTGTCCTAAGGACTGAACAACATATGGTAAAGATCCACATTGCAATGTTACCAGCATTTCACCAATTGCCTGATGGATTGTGTGGTTGTTTTATAGGATTTGATTCGACAGCACCCAGTGTCTGTAAAATATTTTGCCATATTATGTTAGCATTTCACCCAGAATAATGGACTTCATTTATTCAAGTCCAGCATGCCAGCTTCTATGATAATCTGTGAAATGTTTTAGTAGAAGATTCAGTCAGGGACAGTATAGTAAATGAGACTTGATTATAATTTTGTGCTGATAACAAATTTGTCTCTCTATCACTCTCCCTCCACCCCTCTCTCTTGTCCATCCTCGTCTCTCATCCTCCATTTTTTGTTGTTTTTATTTTTCACTAGGCCTTTATTTCATGTAATTGTGTGTGACAGCAATTATAACTAGTGGCTAAAGAGTTCCAATGTGATAACATGGTCTTTGTTACTCTTCCAGAATGTCGGCCCCCTATCCAGTAGACCCTAACAAATCTGGTGCTGCCAATACTGGCTGGGCAGTACCTGGTGCCCCTGCTGGCTACCCTGCTCAACCTGGGTATCCCGCTCAACCCGGAGGATACCCAGCTCAGCCCGCTGGTTATCCTGCACAGCCTGGGTATCCTGCACAGCCTGGGTATCCTGCACAGCCTGGATATCCTGCACAGCCAGGCTACCCTCCTCAACCTGCTGCAGCCTTCCCTCCACAACCTCCTCCTTACTCTGCCCAGCCCAGCCCTTACGTAAGTATCTCAGGATCCTTTGTCTGCATTTTTGATGGAAATTGGAGTTGCTGTGTACATTCACATCAAACATAGACACTTTGTTCTCTTGCCAAGTGGTTTTATGCTGGTAACTTGAAACTATTTGGTTGCTAGAACAAAAAGAAGGGAAAAACTATTGCTGTGAGAAGTTTAACAGTATCTTCGTTTCCCAAATAGTAAGGTTTTGTGAAGATGCTTATCAAATAATTTGATGCTATACATAATAGATGTTATACATTATGTACAAAGAAAACTAATATCAAAATATAAAGTAACACCACACAATTTGACAGTAAGAGTGTTTCTCGGTCTTTAGCCCAATCTCAGCTGTAAAATATCATTTAGCGACGCCAGAATATAGTAGTGCATGCCACTCTGTGCTATAGCCATTATTCTGCTCACAGCAGAGCTTGTAAATCACCATCTTGACCACCAAAATCCAGAGTTATGATGTAATTAGATGTCACCTGACATCTGATGAAATGTAATCTGGGTTAAGAGTCTGTTTAGCAGCCTTAGATCCTTAACCCTTACAGGATATGCCACTTTACAATCCACATCAGCTCACTAAACACTCCCCTCTGATAATGCTGACACTATTTGCATAAAGAATTTGTTATATTTTTGGAATAACAGACCAAATTACTCAGACACTTCAAACCATCACAGTAATTTTATGGCACCTGCAGGGAATAAGGTACAGTTTGAAGTGTCCTTCCTGAGCATGCTGAAATATAGGGAACGCATCCTTTAGGGATTAACCTGCAGTGACAAAGTGATAGTGAGTTTGTCTTGATTGCTGAATTAGATCACATAAATACTACAAAAAATAGAGGAACTGTGCTCACTAATGAACACTAGTCCTTGCGTGACTACTAAAAAAATTCCAGTTATTACTGGTTAACCCAATCCCGACAGGAATGACATGTACATACGTGCTATGCCCACTCTGAGTTACTTTGTTTTTTTTACACTTAGATGGCTACACTTGTACAAAGTCACCAATGAACCATTTCCATTTTCATTTAAAAACAATTATAGATGACACTACATCACATCAGCCATTAGTTTATTTATCCCATTTCCTGTCACACTCCATTCTCTTGTACTTTATCACTCCTCTACTCACATGAGCCAATCTGCTAACAACCTTAGCTGTTGGCATGGCAGATAATTTTAAATAATCAGTCCATCTCATGAGCCAAAAACCAATATTAGCCCCTTTGTCACTCATTTTCCTCCTGTCTCCCAGGTGCACCACCCAGCTTCCATTATGAAATTGCATTGATTAATGAGGTCATACACTTCAAGGTTCCTTATCAGAAGGGGATTACAATAAATTTGGAAAAATAGATTAGATATCACACTTTCAGAACCTCAATGTTTCTTGTAAATAACATATAGCGATACCTGTGCATAATAGCAGTGATGAGTGTTTTCTGTTTGTCCTAAGGACTGAACAACATATGGTAAAGATCCACATTGCAATGTTACCAGCATTTCACCAATTGCCTGATGGATTGTGTGGTTGTTTTATAGGATTTGATTCGACAGCACCCAGTGTCTGTAAAATATTTTGCCATAATATGTTAGCATTTCACCCAGAATAATGGACTTCAAGTCCAGCATGCCAGCTTCTATGATAATCTGTGAAATGTTTTAGTAGAAGATTCAGTCAGGGACAGTATAGTAAATGAGACTTGATTATAATTTTGTGCTGATAACAAATTTGTCTCTCTATCACTCTCCCTCCACCCCTCTCTCTTGTCCATCCTCGTCTCTCATCCTCCATTTTTTGTTGTTTTTATTATTCCCTGTATATAAGATGATTTACACATATCAAGAGTTGTCCGTCAAAATATACAATTTTAGTAGCTTGTGCTGGGTTGCAGATACGTTTGATATCAGCCTGGGATGTCGTGGTTTCTTTCATGAGCGATAAGGAAAGCAAAGGCCTCATAGATTACATGAAACTGGAATACTGACCCAAATGTAGTTCACAGTGGCAGACAGATCCCCCCCCCCCCCCATATGCGCGCACACACAAAAAAGGAAAAAAAATAATGGAAATTTAAAGATTAGGTCTTGGGGTAACCTTTGCATATAGTTAATCAAATTGAAGAATACTTTTAGGTAATTTAGGGAAAAAAATACAACCAGTGGATGGCATGGGAACCATTTAAAAAGAAAACTATTTGGGAGGTGGGGACTTTTTTGGGGGGGCATGTGAGCCAAAGCACAGTTTTCTACTCAATGACATGGGGGGGGGGGAGTAAAATTGTTATCTTTTCATGCTCAAGTGACTGAGGCAAGATAGGCCCTGGTTGGGATATTCCCCTTGAAAGTACCATTACCTTCCTAAATATAGAACTTTTTTGGTATTTCTGTAGATATGTTATATCTTGAGTTTGGTTTCATTTGATGAATAGATAGCTGAAATGAAAAATAAATTTGTGATTTTTCTTGTTTGAGTTACCATATTGTCGGGCTATCTGCTCCCATAATGAGCGATGAAAATTCCCCCAAAAAAAGTCAGTAATATCTTTCATTTATAATCTAGAAGTTCTGCTGATGTTTTTTTTTTTTATATTCCTCTTATTAGTTCCAATATTCGAGTTTGAATTTTGAAGAAAAGAAAATTCTGTTTCAGTATTATTAGAAATATACAAAACAAAATATGGTATACTTTGTACTCTACAAAATGCAGCATAAATGAAGAAAATCATACAAGTCTTTAGAAAGTTATAAGCAAAGAAAAGAAAAGAAAAAATGGTGGTTTAACCTTACAGCTGGGTATGCCAATAACCATCATGAAAATCCAACTCTTCATGATGGGTATGGCTATAGGGATCACAACTTGCTAAAGCAATTAAGCGATCGATTGTGATTTGCGAAGTTCTAGCTTCGCCCGGGCCTTCGGCTATGGCCCGGCCTGTGTCAGCTTATTAGGGCTGACTCATTTCGATCTATGGCTCTCGGTGCTTACCGTGGCGGTGGGATTGCCAGCAGGCGCTCCTGCTGCCACGGGGTAAGCGAATCGCAAAGTCTCTTTACCAGCACGGCGGCTGTTGTCGGGGGTCCCTGTCTCAGGAATTGTGTGTGTACACAATTCTCTAAGTAATGTATAAGTGTGGCGTTCGGCTCGCCGCAATGCATGCAACACCTCTCTTCATGGACAATGGTCTCAATTATCTGCCATTTACAGTGGTAACCTAGGCGCATTCTGTGGAGAATGACTTCGGTTTGTCTGTCTTTTAGCTCAGAGAGTGCCAGTGGTTCATAGCCTGTTGCTTCTGAATACCATCTGGCCGAGGGGGAGGATCTCGTTGCCTCTCTGTGAAGCTGCAGGAGGAAGGAGTTGGCGACACCAGTACTCTTCATCCGAAGTAAATTACGGCTAGGTGCAATGATCATGGGACTAGGGGGCATACCCCTGCCAGAGACTGCTAGTCTGTCAGCAAGTTTGTTCCCTCTGATGCCAATGTGGCTGGGGACCCAATTAAGGATGATTCTTCTACCCTGAGCCAGTATCCTTTGGGCTATTGTTAATATTGTGGTCAGGAGGTAGATATTGTCTTTGGGTGAGCTGAGCTTGAGAGAGTCAATGGCTGCCCTAGAGTCAGTGTGAATGACTACGTGTCCTCCCAAAGGGGACGCGTGGGCTAGGGCTTCCATGATCGCAACGGCCTCTGCCTGTAGCGAGGAGGCGTTGTCTGATACCCTCATGGAGTGCATGGCATCCCTTGCTGCAAAGCCGGCGCCTGCAGTGTGGTTGGCTGGATCGACCGATCCGTCCGTGTAGTAAGTTCTACTACCCGGGGGGGTGATGGCTGATATGACCCTGTAGGTCTCTGCCTTTAGACCAGGCGTGGGATATTCGGTCTTTTTGAGCGCTAATCTCATGACCGAGAACTCTATCGAATTTTGTGCCCACGGCGGGGCTTCGACAAAGTCAGGGTGGGGGGAGTCCATACCCTTGGTCAGGAGCTGCTCTTTGAGCTCAAAGCTTATCAACACCCTGGCTGTGTGGGACAGCCACGTGTTGTTGGCAAAGAGCTCGTTGTCTTGTTCCAGGTGTCTGGCTAATTTTTCTCTTAGGGTCGTGTTCCTGGGAGCCTGGAGGACCTTTGCAAAGAAGTTGGCTGCCATTTGATCGATTCGTGAGTCCAGGGGGAAAAGGTTGGTCTCCATCAGGAGGTTGGGAACCTTTGACCACCTTGGGGCACTCAGAATGATTCTGGCAGCTTCGTTTTGGACTGTTTCCAATTTTTCTCTGTATTTTTTCTTTCTGCCAATTAGGGCGACTGAGGCATAGTCCACAATGGGCCTGACAGCTTGTACGTAGAAGGCTCTTAGTACTTTGTGTCTGGCTCCTATGTGTCTCCCAGTCATTACTCTCATGACGTTCAGTCTTGCTTTGCATCGGTCGACCAGCCGGAAGGAGAGGGTCTGGTCTATCCATACCCCAAGGTATTGGAACACCGGGACCCATTCCAAGTCTACTCCCTGGATCCTCAGACTTGTGCCTTGAACTCGTTTTCCCAGAGCCATGGCCTTAGATTTGGCTGCTGAGATCTTAAGTCCCGTCCTGCAACACTCCTCGGACACAAGGTCCAGACAACGCTGGGCTTTACTTAGGCATTGTGTCCCAATGGCGGTGATGGCGAGATCGTCCGCATACGAGACGATCTTGCATCCCGACGGGAGGTTCATGTTGAGGATACAGGACATAAGTACGTTAAACAGGGTTGGACTGAGATCCCCACCCTGCGGTGTCCCATTTTCCAGTGGCAAGTGCTGCGATAGGTGACCCTGGAACTTCACTCTGGCAGTTCTGTTCCTAAAGTAGTCACCTATCCAAGCCAAGAGCTTTCCTCGGATTCCCTTCTGGGCCAGGGCCTCCTGACTAGCAAGAGGGCTTGCTAGTTCAAAGGCCTTTTCCAGGTCCAGGAATACTGCCACGGCTGAGGTTGTGCTCA